CAGCAATTTCAGCAACATCCCTTAGGTGGTAAAAGATGTAGATGGAATGCCTCAGACCAGAGTCACTCTGGTGTCATCCGGTTTCCTCAGATCTGTGCCTTGTGGGAGGGTGTGTGTGTGTGTGTGTGTGTGTGTGTGTGTGTGTACAGCAAAAATCAAGGGAAGTCAGCAGTTGGTTCTTTTCAGTTTGGAGTCTCAGCCAGCAGTACCAGCAGGGAAGTGGTCTCTCAGAACATATTTGCATCACTTATCACTGATCAGCAGAAAGATGAAAAGAAACTTTTGGGAAGAATTATGGAAGCTCTGGAAGTTTGTGAATCTTCAGGGCAGTGGATGTTTCCGTTTACTCACCAATGAAAGATAAACCTACTATTTCAGGCACTTATTGCTATGAGATTCTCAACAAAGACATCCAGAAACTAATATTAAGTTTTCTTGATGGGATAAAGGAAAACATGGGAAGTTATTTAGAAGAATTCAGAAAAACTATAGAAGAACAAAACAAGGAATTTAATAAGGAGATAGAAACCTTAAATAAAAAGCAACCAGCCATTCCAAAGCTTCATAATATAATAACAAATAAAAAGCTCTCTACAAGACTACAGAAGTAGAATGAAAACCATGGAAGGAAGAATCAGTGAACTAGAAGACAAAGAATCTGAGATTACTCAGTTTGAAGAGCAGGTGGAAAAAATGAACAGGGCATAAGGGCTTTCTGGGACAGCATGAAGAGAAATAATATATGCATAGTAGGAATTCCAGAGAGAGAAGAGAGGAAACGAAATCCAGAAAATATTTTTGAAGAAATAATCATTAAAAAATTCCCAAATCTGGAAGATGAAAGTTTATCATCCAAGATGCTCACCAAAGTCCATATATGTCAAACCCTAAGAGAAACACCCTAAGACATACCATAATTGAATTTACCAGGAACAAAGATAAGGAAAAACTTTTTGAGAGCAACACAAGACAAGGGAAATGTCACTTACAAAGGAGCATCAATAAGAGTAAGTGCTGATTTCTCACCAGTAACAATGCAGGCAAGAAAGCAATGGGGTATTAAATACCAAGAAAATAACTATCAACCAGAAAGAATTTACCCAGCAAAATTATCATTCAAAAGTAAGGGTGAAATTAGGATTTTTCCAGGGAATTTGTAACCACCAGACTAATCCTGCAAGAAATTTCAAAGGGAGCTCTCTTGAAAGAAAACATGATCCCAGCCCAACAATCCAAAATGGTGACACTAAACAACCACCTGAATACATATAATAAAATAAATTTACAATGAGATGGGGGATCTGGGCTACACAATTGTAATGGACAATAACAAAAATAAAATGGAGAGAACTTTCAGGTGTTAAAGGGAATATAATTGACTTGGTAATAAAAATTATCCTACAAAATAATAAGAAAGAAAAAATATTCCTAAAGAGAACTCAGCTTTGAAGATAGAAAACAAAGAAGCCATCAGTCTCACCAGGAGAGGGGGTGGGGGAATGTTTAATAAAATGTTTCAAGTAAATTCCACTCTACTGATAATCATTGCGGTGAATATAAATGAATTAAATATCGTAGTGAAGAAACGGTGGTATACTGGACCCCAAATATGACACGTTGTTATGACCAGGGGCACAGGTGCATACATAACGTGGGGTGGAAATAGTCGACATAACAAGTAATACAAAGCAAACAGGAGTGGCAATGTTAATATATGACAATAGTTTTAAGGGAAAATTTATTATGAGACAGAGAAGGACACTAAATGTACACCTTTTAATGTTGGATGGCACCATTTTAAAAGGGAATAAAGAAATGGAAGACCTACATAATACTAACAATTTGGACTTAACAAACATAGAGCACCCCACTCACCAGTAGCACA